ACGGAGATAGGAGCACTCCTTACATTTTAACACGGTATCAGGTTATTTCCTGCCTTACTAAAACCAAACGTAAGGACAGCGCTGGTAAAGGAGAAAGGGGCAGGTATACATTACTTTATTTTAGAAGATTTTCCTGCTCAGAACAACTCCAAACTCAAACACAAATTAACCCCTGGGACACAAATTTTCAGAACTTTTAAATCTGATCTTTAAAACAAAAATGCCCACAGTCAAGCTTTCAAAATGAAGCAATAAAATCAGCCATTGGTGAGCGTTTGCAGTCTATGTTTTACAAAGAATGAGAGGACAGAGTATTTTCAAGTGGGGATGTTTAACTTCATGCAGGTGAGAAACAAAGTTAGAATCTGTGCCCTTGTCTGCTGAAGTTAAACTTCCACATAAATATGGCAGGATCAGGCCTTACTTTGTACGATAATTTTAACCAAAATAAAAAATGTTGTAGCAGCTCAGTGTCTATTAACTATGAATAATAAATATACCATGTATTACATTTTAAGTAGTTTCTCCTCTATGAATAGTTATTATTAGAAAATATAAATGAGATTGAAGAAAGTTTTGAAAGAGATTTCTATGGTGATGAGTTTGACTGTTCTGGAGAATAGGGCTATTATCCCCACCTTTGTTTAAGAACCTCTCTACCAGTCAAATTCTCAGTCTGCTAAATATTGCATGCGAGTCATCTTTATAATCCTAGTAGCACAGAGACAATGTCATTCTACTTTCCTGTTATCTACCACACAGGTCTTTAACTGCAAGGAAAAGACTGGTACAGTAAAAAGAACACTGTATCCCCGGCAATATGCAGTTCAACTTTATCTTCTCAACTGTTGAAAAAGTAATTATTTTTTCCTTTACATTTTTATAAAGTTAACAAAAACAGCCACCCCTGCAGCAAGCACTTCCAAGCTGCCAATGGCTACCTGAGTTAAGGTCTGTTGGCTTTCCCAGCAAGTCACTGGTATGAAATGACTTTCCACTCAGTGATTATTACTTAGAAAATCAACCTATAGTGTTGCTCTGTTTTTGTGACTCAAACTCAGTACATTAGAGTTTTGTGTACACAGTGTTGACAGTGACTTAAACAAACATTGCAGCTCCATTAATATTTTTTACATTGGATAGTGAAAATCTGCATGCCAAATATTATTTCCCCAAATGGCCAAAGTAGTTCTATGAAATGTTACACTTTGTTTTCCTAGAAATGGAGAGAAGAACTAAAACAGCAATGACTGCTTTAAGCTAGGATCATCTGTAGTGCTTGCAAATCACTGAGAAAAGAATTGCATTTTGCACAATATATGCCATTAAACCATTCAAAACTACAATAGTCTGAGGACACTATATTAAATGATCAAGCCATAAAACAATGTATAGCGCTCATCCATTTCACCCACAAGCAGTGAATAAGAGGACTCAAAATTCTACTTGCCCAGACTTGCATAACAAAGTACTTTCTGGAGAGAGTGAAAAGAGGAGGAGTAATTTATTGTAAGAACCTATCCATAAAAAAAAAATCTATTTCTTTTCAGAGTGAGATTTGCCAAAACACAGATATTGTTGATACATTTTGCCATTTGTTTGTGGAAGAGGAAACTGAAATAGTGCTTCCTGAAAAGCAGATTTTTTGTACTTAGAACTGAGAACAAAGTCTACGTTCCACAAGAGTTTCTCTTTGGGGTAAGCAAATACATACAAATAAGAATGCTGCACAAAGCACAGTACAAAAAAGAGCTAGATAGAGTGAAGATGAGATCACAGATGTGTTGGAGCTGTACAATACAGGTATGTCAGGTATTTAAAAGGGTGTCATAAGGAGGAGGGAGAAAACTTGTTCACCTTAGCCTCTAAGGATAGAACAAGAAGCAATGGGTTTAAACTGCAGCAAGGGAGGTCTAGGTTGGACATTAGGAAAAAGTTCCTAACTGTCAGGGTGGTTAAACACTGGAATAAATTGCCTAGGGAGGTTGTGGAATCTCCATCTCTGGAGATATTTAAGAGTAGGTTAGATAAATGTCTATCAGGGATGGTCTAGACAGTATTTGGTCCTGCCATGCGGGCAGGGGACTGGACTCGATGACCTCTCGAGGTCCCTTCCAGTCCTAGAATCTATGAATCTATGAATACATCACGAATTCTCTGAGATGGTACTGCAGAAAGAGGACACGCACTTACTGATAAACAGGATACATCTACAGTTACAATATTAAATAGCAATGTGACAATATCTACAGAAAAATCAACGGCCAGATACTTTACCTCAGGTGAGGCCTCATGAAGATTTGACAGTTTTTATTACCCAGCATTAGCACTTTTTTGGAGTTCTTTTTTCCATTAAAAGGAGCAATTGAAGGAAAAACAGACTTTAAAAATGACATCTGGACAGGTTAATTTAAACGCATAATGCATACTTTTTTCATTTTTTTCCTTAAACTAAAGTAAATATAATCTCTAGGCAGTAGCTTCCCTTATTTTTATAAAACCTTTGAAATGAGTACTGTCTTTGATTTTAAAAATAGAATATGACAATTCTAGAAGTGTATTTCTTTAAAAACAACTAGTTTTTGTGTAGGTTACTGTAAGTTATTTCCCAGAGTCTCAACACATACATACATAGAAACTATGACATTTCACACAAATATGAGTAGTGACTCAAATATTCTTTAAAATAAATAAGAAGGAAGAGAATTTGACAATTAAATACATAATTAAATGGAAGCATTGTCTCTACTACTTTCAAAAGTCTAAATATCACATTACACTACAAATCATCACTCTTCAGCTGCGAGCTGGAAATTTCTGGTTGAATATCTTTGTTTGTTTGTGTTAAGGTTGAAATAAAAGTGCTTTTTGTTGGAAGAATTTAAACTCAGCTATTGATAGGTTGATGAGACTCAAGCCAGGGGCTATAAAATGCAGTGGGTGGAACAATCACATATGAAGTCTGATTATGAATAGAGCAGAATTTGTTGCAAGCAAAGTGAAAACAAATAGTCAGAAACACAATTCAGGCTTCTCACAATTCTTCTTCCCGGCAACTACTAAAGTCCCCACATAAACTGGTCAATCATTCACAAGGATCTGTCTCACTTTGGTTTTACTGTGGGAAAATTAGGTATAGCATAATGGATTTTTTTTTTAAATGACACCAAATGACTGCAGGAAGCTTAAACTTCAATTTTAAAAATGAGAAAGCAAGCCTCTAGCCTCTTTCCTTTTGAAAATAGCATTCAGAACAAGAACCAATTCCTAAAGAGAGTGCCATAGTGATCTTTCCAATAAAACATGGAACATCACATCTGCCTCTTCCTAGCATTCCGCTCTGTCCAGAACTGTAGTTTTGGCTGAATGCACTCAGCTATCAGCAACCAGAGCTCCCAAATTGGTCACCCGTGCCCAACGCCTTCTATTTCTCTTTTCCCACCAACTCCAAACACATGGAAGTAACAGTGGAATCACTCCCAAGGCACTTCTCTCATTTATGCTCTTAGCTTCAGTGGCTGTACCAGTAGTGACACCAGGAGAAACTGCAAATAGCACCATAGCCATTGGAGCTTCCCTCATGACTTCCTATGGGGATGAAATCCTATGAAAGGGACTGTTCATTGCAGGCATTTCTTGGTGCTAAGTCTCCAGGAAATCACACAGTTAGAAGGTAGAAAAATTATCTTTTCTCCAACTTTCTATGTGCCTAGATCTTAGGCATCAAGACTTTATTCCTCCCAGCAAAAGTCTTCTCTCAATAGCATCACCACTCAAAAGCAATAGAGATAAGATGTTGCTGTATTTCTTTTTTAATGTAAATTTCAGTCCCTTGCCAGCAGGAGGCATGTGGTGGTATTATATTTAGCCCTTTGCACTGGCAAGTCAGGTGCACACATTGCATGAACGAGGCCAGTGGCAACACAATCTTCACATGAGGCAGAATTTTCTCTCTCTCTCTCTCTCACACACACACAAGGCATTCAAGTTTTCATACATGCACATCCACAAAAGGGCCATACAACAGCACCTTTCTCCAGAGCAATGAAATTTGACATCCATGGCAGAAGGGGAGAAGACAAAGTAATACAGCTCAGCAGAAATACAGAGAATCATGGAACATCTGACTTCCATGAGCACCATAACAAACTTACTTTTACTGATGAATTAAGGTACTTTGAGATTTACGTGTTACACCACACGCATAACCTAGAAGGGCAGCCACCAATACTGACATAGTTTGATGTGTCTCCCTCACACTAACTCCTGTAGCCCTACTAAACTCCTAAACTTCCCAGGGCTTCTCCCCAACCTTATTTCAGATCTCCTACATAAATCACAAGTTCCATAGGTTTCCTTTTGTCATGGTTAATTCAGCTGCCCACCTGAGCAACAGCTTCCCAAGGTTCAGCTCCTGTCTTAGAATCACTGCCATGTGCTCTAATTGGGACCACACGTGAACACTATTCAAACCTTAGCTAATGAAGCATGTAGCTACTCACTTAACAGTTCTTCTTGCAGAGAGTATAACATGCAACAGCTTCCTAATAACTTCACAGAGCAATTCAAAGTGGGTTTGTTTTTTTTAAAAATAAACGTTATGGTTTGAAGCTCAGACCACGCCATTATCTATTGATAAGCCTGTTTTATAAAACTCCAATACATACAGAGAATTCTATCCTAAAGATAGGAGCTCAAAATGTTTTCCTAACAATGCCAATCACTACTTCCTACAGTTTATAAAACATATGGAAAGAAATACATCTAAAGTTGAAATTTGAGTGAGATATATAGGTAAGATATAGTCCCATTATGTGTTAGATCATAATTTCATGGGAACAACGCTGCATAGACACAGTTGTTTCACTTTGCTGTTTTATGTCTCTTTTCGAAATGGGTACATTATGCAAATCAGCATAAAGAAATACAAAACTGCTACATGACAACAAAATATTCTTTTGTTACGATCATTCCCAAATCAATTGAGTTTCACCACTTACTTGGGTGTCTTTCCATTTGGTAATAAAGCTGTTCTCTGTATCCATTTGTTTGACCTGATCTTCATTTATCTGTTAAAAATTGATATTTCGGTAAGTTAGAGGGAAACTAACATAACGCTTTATCATCCTTAGTGGATTCTTTATAATGGCTAACAACACTAAGAAAATCAAGTAGGGTTGTTAGGAGTGATTACGCTTACAATGTATTTTATCTGATTGAGAGATTTTTTCTAGTATCAAACAAGAGGCACTATTTTTTATCGAATGTAAATCTAAAGAGGATTTTTCCATAAAATCCATCATACCGCTGAGCTCTTTATAATATCAACACATTTCCTCTGTGACCCCAGATAAAAAAGAAGAATGGGTCACAAAGATTAGTCACTAGTAATGAATAAATTCAAATTCAATTGGATTCAGTTCTTCTGCAAAGAGCTTTGGAAGAAAACAGTATCTCTCTGAAGTGCTCATCATTAACTGAGTCAAAAGTCTGGGAATACCTTAGCTGCAACACAAGAACCATAATAGGTGAACAAACATACCACTTTCAAAGATCACAATCTTGGAATTTGTTAAAAACTATGCCATCTTCATGCCAGTGAGAAGAGTTGTGCGCACTCATTTGGAAAAGACTGATTTACAACAACTCTAGAAACACAGCTTTTTCTCTTCAGTCTAGACTAGTTCAGAATTAATGTCTAAAAGCAGCCAAATAAAAAGCAACGGCCACAGAGCTAAAGAATTAGAGAATCCTGCACACTGTGAAGCAGTGCAACCAACATTGCACAAAAAACATTTGTGAAGACAACATCTTTGTGCAAGATCATGAAATGCATAGAGATTTTCAGACATTTTACAAAATTCTATTACCAGAGCACTTAGGACACTACATTATGTAAGATACTTACATCGAAGAGTTGTACGTAATTTTTAATTAGATCTTCTATTACATTGACTTCTTCACTGGTATGTCCTTTAGTTTGAAATAAACATGATGAAAACACCATGGCTAGATTGTGCGGGTTCATATAATTGATTTCTGAACATTTATGCACCCTGTTTGAAAGAGAATAAATCCATTTAGAATACTCCATTGTTCTTGACACTGCTCATGCTCGACTCAAGGACACAGAGTGCTTTTCCAACAGCCGTATTTTCAACAGTATAGTTTTATTAAACAAAATTATTAACCTATTTTTATCTAGTCTTTTACATGTATGTAATGATTTCATGTACTTTTACACAAACATTAATTGATGCTTTCTTTCTGTCTCTGATCTATGGTAGTGAGTGGTGTCATGTCAATAATCATTTTCATACTACTACTTCATTTTGTGATCTGTATAAGTTGGATATGGTCAGAAAATGGGGGAAGAGATAATGAAACTCTTAAAACATTTTTGTTTCTATAGTGCTGTTAAAATTTTCTAACCAATTGTACTAGTTTTTTTTTTTTTTTTTTTACCGATTCCAAGTCAGAAGTGACCATTGTGATCATCCAGTCTGACCTCCTGTATAACACAGGCCACAGAACTTCCCCAAACTAATTCCTAGAGCATCTCTTTTAGAAAAACATTCAATCTGGGTTTAAGAATTGTCAGTGATGGAGAACCCATCACAACCTTTTGGCCACAGCATCACATTGGGAGCTCGTGTTCAACTGATTATGCTTCCACCACAATCTCCAAATCTTTTTAACAGTCACTGCTATACGTGCGTATACATATACATATGTAAGCACATTATGCTCTACATGATACTTTAAGAAACAACCATTTCTTTAAAATACCACAGGGCACTAGGTGCCAACTTTTGCTATATCTGCTTAAAGTGAGTGTAACACCGACAGGCGGGATCAAACCTGGGACCTCTGGAACTAAATGCATAAGCATCTACTGCATGAGCTAAAAGCCACATGGCTCTTAGCTAAGGCTGTAGCAGACTCATTAATCTCTAAGTGGTCGAGGTGCCACTAGAGGGGATAGAGCACCACACCCAGGTGGTGTGGGGTTACATGGGCACCTTAAAAACTCACAATTTACTGATTTTAACCTTATTTCCTGCATTTCCCATACTTGGAAGAGGAGGTTACTTACCTGTAACTGGAGGTTTTTCGAGATGCATGGTTTCTATCTGTATTCGGGTGAGAGTTATGCATGCGCACCATGCACCCAGAGCTGGAGAATTTGAAAGCAGTGTCCACTGGTTCGTGCATATGCCCTAGCTCATCTTGTGCCTCCAACCAAGGGAGTGAAGGGCGAGGCGGATCATCCACCTCTCCAGTTCCTTCTAAAGCAGAAGGGAAGGAAGGTGGATAATGGAATACAGATAGGGACCACACATCTCGAAGAACCTCCAGTTACTGGTAAGTAATCTCCTCTTCTTCGAGTGATGTCCCTATTGTATTCCATTGTGGGTGACTAACAAGCAGTACCTAAGTAGGAGGAGGATGTAGATGGTAGGGCTGAGCAGAGTACCACCATACCAAAGGAGGCATCAGCAGAAAAGTCCTGCACCAGGACATAATGTCTTGCAAATGTGTGAATGGAGCCCTATGTGGCCGCTTTACAGATTTCGAGGAGGACTACCTCCTGAAGAGATGCCATACGTGTTGCTTGCGCTCTGGTGGAATGAGTTCTTAACTCATGGAGAGTGGGGGGGGAGGCTCGAAAGCTGAGAGAGTAGAATGCAGCCAGAGACCATTTGGAGATTCTCTGGGTGGAGATGACGTGCCCTCTGACTCAGTCGCTATAGCGACAAAAGTCTTAGGGATTTCCTGATTTGTTTTGTTCTCTGTAGGTAAAAACCCAAGGCCCACCGAACACTGAGGGAGTGGAGTCTTTGCTCCTGTGTGGAAGTGTGCAGTTTTGGGAAGAACACAGGTAACAATGTTTTGTTTAAGGTGAAATTCCAAAGCTACTTTAGGGGTAAATTTGGGGTGCAGATGCAAAGAAACCTTATCCTTATGGAATGTAGTGTACGGAGGATTGGCCATCATCTCTCCAAGTTGGCCAACCCTTCCACTGAGGTGATGGCCACAAGGAAATCAACCTTCATGAAAAGGATGGACATGGACTATAACTAAAGGCTCAAAGAAAAAAAAAAAAACCTTGTGAGTACTGAGAAAACAAGGTTTAGGTCCCACTGGGGAATAGGCTTCTGAACAGGTGGGAAGGTTTTTATTAGGCCTTTCCAGAATCTATTGGTCAGTGGATGTGTGAAGACCGAGTAGCCCTAAGAAAGTGGATGGTATGCACTGATCACCGCCAAGTGGACTCGCAAGGAGCTCATGGACAAACCTGTTGTCTTCAAAAAGAGAGGATATACTCCAAGATGAAAGCAAGATTTGTAGTCTCTGGGAGAATGCCTCTTTGGTGTGCCCAAGACGAGAAGCTCTTTCACTTAGCTAGGTAACATTTTTTGTAGTATCCTTTCTACTTTTAGAGAGGATGTTTCATATGGCTGTGAAGCATGAACATTCTACAGATAATGCCCATCAAAATACCAAGTCCTGAGGTGGAACGGATGCAGATCAAGGTGCTTGATCTTGCCCTTCCACTGGGTCAGGAGCTCATGGAATGTTGGGAGAATGATTGGTGGTGAGGCTGACATGAGGAGGAAATTAGGAAACAAGAACTGTCTGGCCAGAAGGAGGTTATCAGGATGACCTGCACTCTGTCATGCTGGATTTTGTGTAGAACTTGTGGCAGAAGTGGTAGTGGAGGGAAGACAGTTGAACTGGTCCCACCAAGGAAAAAGCATAGTGTCACCCTAACAGTGGCATCCTAGGGCTCTTCTGGAGCAATACATGATGCACTTCCTGTTTGCTATAAAGCGGTGAACAGATCCCTGGTTGGGGTCCCCATAGAGTGAAAATATTGTGCAGTACCAAATCATGGATCGCCCACTCTTGGTCGATTGTAAAATGTCTGCTGAGGGAATGTGCAAGCACATTTTATTTTCCCAGAAGGTAGGCTGCCAATAGGGAGATTTGATTGCTGATACACCAGTTCCAGAGACCTGACAGGGAGGTGGATCTCAGTCCCCACTGCTTGTTGATGTAGAAGACAGTTGTAACATTGTCTGACATTATAAGGAGATGGTGAGCATGGATGAATGGAAGAAAGGACTTGAATGACTTCCAGACTACTCACAACTCCAAGATACTGCGGTGCATCCTGGACTCTCGAGATGTCCGGGTGCCTTGTGCTCGGTGGCTATTCATGTGGCCACCCAACCAAATAGGGATGTGTCTGTAATAACGTTCCTGTCTGGAAGGGAAGGGAGAAAAGGGACACTAGTGCTTATCTGAAGAGGATTTGTCTACCATAGCAGGGGAAGACACTAGCTTGGCTGGAACTGTCACCATGAGGTTCATGGAATGATGGTTTGGGGAGTATAGTGATTGTAGCCAAGTTTGAAGGCAATGAAGGTGGAGTCTTGCAAAAAGGGTGATATAGCTGCATGAGGCCATATGACCTAGGAGAGAGAGATGTTTTGACTGGTACTCGAGGGTTGCTTGACACATGAGCTATGGTATTATTTATGGTCTAGAACCTATCCTTGGACAGGTATGTTCTTGCTGTCAGGGCCGGGTCATGGGCAGCCAGACCTAGTGGTAGGAGCTGGAATCCACAGTCAGAAGTCAGCTGGGCCAGGATCCTGGAAGGTCAGAAACCAAAGCCAGACTGGAGATCAGAACCAAAAGTCAGAAGTCCAGAGCTAAGCCAGAGTCAGGATGCCAGGAAGTCAAGCCAGGGGATGGGTGGGGGGAAGAGGGGGAGCATAAGCAGGAGGCACAAAGTGGATCCCAGTTTTTTAAGACAACTTCCTGTTCCTGATGCTGTCATAAGTAGGGCCAGGAGGCCAATCAGCTGCTCTGGGGCTCTACCAATGGGGCATCAGAGGCAGAGCCTCAAACTGGGGCTGGGCTTCATGAGTCCTGGATCAGCAGTTGGTCCAGTGGAGGGTTGCAGCATGTCTGCTCCTGTAAACCCTGTGGACCTGGGTTCAAGGCCTGTGCATCATGACATAACCCCCACCCCTAGGGGCACCCTCTGGGAGACATGGGTCCAGTTTTCTTGAGTGGCTCCTATGGAAGGCCTGAACCACGGCAGGAGCATGAACATTCTCTGCTGGATCCCAAGTTCATTCCTCTGGGCTGTAACCTTCCCAGTCAATCAGGTATCACAATTTACCCCACTTGACCTTGTATTTGTGGAGCTTAGGCTCTATAGGGAAATGTATTCTCAGTGTAAGGTTTTAGGAGTGACACACGGAATACAAGGTGGTCCCTAAGGGACTGAGGGAACTGAAGCTCAAAGGTTACTAAGTTGATCCGATACAGGCCAAGGAAGTGGTGGTCTAGTTTCTGAGAGGGTCTGTCTGTGCAGAGGTGTTCTGTAAAAAGCCATACCTTTTGTCCCACAGTGTAAGCCAGGCCTTGTTGCTACTACTACTGAAAATATCTTGGTAAAGACTCTAGGGGCAGTTGCTATCCCAAAAGGAAGTTCTCTTTATTGAAAATGGTTGAAGCACACCATGAATCTGAGAGAGCATCTATGGGCAGGATGAATGGCTATGTGAAAGTATGCATCCTTCATATTGAGAGCCATGAACCACATGGCCTTTTCTACAGATGGAATTATCACTGCCAATGTGACCATGCAAAATCTGAGTTTGTGAATGAAACAGTTGAGATGGCAGCGGTCAAGCACTAGTCTCCAAGTGCTCTTCTTTTTGGATATTAGGAAGTAGGTGGAGTTAAACCCTCTCCTTTGGTCTTGAGGGGGGACATGGTTCTATTGCTCCTCGCTGCAATAAGGAGTTCACTTCTTGAGAATACTCTCACATGAGAGTTTTCCCCAGGGCCGGGGAGGAGGTTTCTGGAGGAGGTAGTGTTGCAAAATGTATTGTATAGCCAGAGTGGATGACGCCAAGCACCAACTTGTCCATTGTCATCACACTCCAGGTGTTGAAAAAGACTTCCAGATGACCCCCAAATACTGTGGGGCAGGGGCGGGAGGTGTTGGGCTTAGTGTTTTGTGGCTCTTGAGCTCCCATCAAAAATAACGTTGAGCCAGGGATTGAGATGCCAAGCCTATTGCCGAGGGTGTAAGGAAGTGGGACTTTTGAACTCTTGGTCTCTTATGTATTGGTTCAAAGTTGCTCTGATAGAAAAATTGCTGAGCCATAAATCTAGATGTGACCTGTGGGTGGTGAAACTTCCTCTTAGTGACAGGCATATCCATACCAAGTGGAGGGCAACCCTGGAAACCTTCAGGGTATAGAAGGACTCGTCTGCCTTCTGGTTGAAGAGCTCCTGTTCATCAAGGGGGAGGTCCTCAATGATATCCTGGAACTCCTTAGCGAATCCCGACACATGGAGCCATGACTCCTTGCGCACGACAATGGCGGTAGCTGTAGCTCTAGAGGCAGCATCGACTACAGATTGGAGGGTGGTCCTGGCTACCAGTTTGCCATTGTCTGTCAGAGCTTGAAAAAGAGATCTGCCTTAATACGGAAGGCTGTCAAACTTCACAAACTTGGCGTAATTCAGGAAAATGTATTAAGCCAGTAATGCTTGGTATTTGGCTATCCTGAACTGGAGGCTGGATGATGAGAAGATCTTTCCTCCAAGCAGATCCAGGCATTTTCCCTCTTTGTCAGCAGGAGTAGACGGGGGATGCTGCTTTCTAGCCCTTTCAGAAGAGGCATGGACCACCAGTGAATTGGGAAAGGGGAGTGAAAACAAAAATTCTTGGCCGGCACATAATAGTGCTTCTCAGCCCCTTTGGTGGTAGGAGTGCAGGTGGTAGGAGTGTGTCAAACTGTCCTAGCTGACTCCAGTATGGCTTCATTAACAGGGAGAGCTATTCTGTTGGTTCCAGAAGCATGCAAGATGTCTAAGAGTTTGTGCTGGGAGTCCTGGATCTCTTCAAAAGCAATTTGAAACTTTCCAGGAACTCTGCAGAGAAGGTCCTAGAACTGCCTGAAGTCATCAGGAGGCAGGGGGGCTAGAAGTCACCACTTTATCCAGGGATGATGATGGCAGCCTTCCTGGTTCCAGTGGAACTACAAGATCAGGAACGTAATGTTCCTCCTCCTCTGTCATATCCGGGAGCAGATCTGAGCATCCCCTTAGCGGAGAGACAAGGGGTGTCTCCCTGGCAAATTGGATCAACTCTTCAGGGGGAGTAGACCAGTAGGCGTGGTTGATAGGTGGTCACAGGGGCCCCCATGGCATGGGGTAGCAGAAGCTCAAAGTTAGATGAGGTAGAGATTGTTCCCAAGCCAGTGAGGGTCTTTTGAGTGGTGGTGGACACACAGGATAACGGAAGAGCAGTTCATTGGATGACTCAGAATCTCCTGATGAGGAGTGCCAGTGGTGGTACTGTCAGTGCCATTGGAGGGGAGATGTATTCTGCAGATGGGTCAGGTGATGAGCTCCTTCCAGCGGTTGATTCTCCCGGAGGTGGTGATATGTCCCTGGAAATGGAGGGGCCCAATGGAGAAGGAGATTCCGGATCTGGGAGAGCAAAAATGTCCTGTGAGGCGGGCATCAGATACAGAGCTCCCTAGTAGGAGAGGGGTTCTGCTTGTCCAGGCCACCAGAGCCTATGAGGAGGGTGGTATCCATAGTTGGCAGTGATCTGACTTAGTCAGTCCTGGCGGATCCTGGGGTTTGGAAGAAGCCAGGGAGGATGGTACTGATGGAATACAGTCTGGTACAGGTGGAGTCCTTTGCTTATGGACTTTCTTGTCATACCACTGGGATTTAGGACATATTAAATACTCATATTAAATACTTTACAGCTGAGTCCAACTTCTATGAAGTGGACTTACAGGAAGATTTAGTCTCATGCTTATGACAGTGCTTCCTAGCTTCCCGATAAGACCCTGCCGTGGGGTTTGTCGGGGTAGATTCTCCTGCGTCAGCGTTGGACTTTGCAGCAGGAGGTGTACTTTTTGCTGAATCAGGCTAATGTACAGGGGTGATCCCCTGCCTGGGTCCTCCAAGAGATATCTGTGGAGATGAAGTTCCCACCTCTCTCGGATACAGCTGGGGAACAATCAGCAGATACTGCACCACACTGCAATGAGAGAGTCCCCAAGGAAGTACAAACAGCGTTGGTGGCCATTGCTGATCGAGAAGGATCATGAGTAGGAAGCACTGAGTTTGAAGCCTGGAGTCCTGGGCATAGTCCAGTAACCGAACAGGGAACAAGTCAGTGGGAAGGTCCCCCTGGGAAATTAATCTAATACTAAACAGTAAAAACTATTAAAACTGTTAAGAATCATCTAGTTTGAAAAGTTTTATTTTGTAGAAAAAAGCCAAAGCTGAGGACACTAAAGTATCTGACTCAGACCATGTGGCGGCAGTGAGAAGGAACTGAAGAGGCAGTTGGTCTGCCCCGACCTTTATCCTCTTCAGCATGGGCACGAGATGTGCCAGGACACATCCACAGACCAGCAGAAACTGCTTTCAAATTCTCTAGCTGCGGGAGCATGGTGCGCATGCATAACCCATAATGTAAGACAATAGGGACCATCACTCGAAGAAGAATAAAGAATTATCACTAAAGACTTAAAAATTGTTATTTATATTGATAGAATAATTTAAGGACAACCCCTGTTGTAGCTTTATTCTTCAACTCCGCATATTGTACTGAAGCAGGCATTCCAGAACCCCCACTTCAGATATTCAGCTAGTTTATGACAAATAGTAGTGGAACGTATTCAGTTGCTACTACCAAAAAAACAAAAAACAAAAAAAAAAAAAAAACAAAAAAAAAAACTATTTAACAACAATTAACACTGATCCATTTAATTCAGTCTGACTTGTGCAGGAGCATCCAAGCTGTACAATTCTGATACACTCTTCACAGCTTACTCTATCTTAGAAAGAGATACGGGTTTTGCTGAGTGCTTCAGTCTACGGTTTCAAACACTCCCCCGGGCTGTTACACTTGCAAAATTAAAAAGTAATGAAACATAGCTAGGAAAATTAATTCTTAAAGCCATCATACATATTAGACTCTCCCTCAGAGTCTTCTCTTCTCAGGAACTGCTATGCATGATGGAGCTTATTAGAAAGGGCTTTTAAAAATCCTTTAAAACTCCCTAGGTCCTTCTGCCCCATCTCTTTTGGAGGATGACAGATTCAGGTAGCCTGGTCTTAATCGGCTCATTTAAAATTCACTATATATCTGCAGCTTCCTGTCAGTGCAAAATTGTTCTTTAAAGTGTGTTGGTATCTATAGTTAAAATTAAAATGTAAGAAAAATACAGTTTATAGATTACAAATTAATGCAAATCTTATTAATCCTATTTATGAATCAGTAAAATTAGCCATGACTAGTTGAATAGCTCTGGTACTTATCGATAAATGAAGTGTTAATGACATTTCAGTCATGCCAGTGAAGTAAAAAATGCTTATTGAGTGTTCTCTACTGTGGTGCGAAATCTGAGTCGATCTGCTGACCCACTGACCTGTAAAGGTGTTCAATTAAAGCTGCCAAAGTTGCCCTGTTGACTGGTGGAAGGCTCTGAATAAAAGTTCCATACTTCCTCACTCGTTCCTTTTCATTCTGTGTATCTAATGGAGGAGGAAACAAAAAGTCACTGGACATTCACCACAATGCATGTCCCAAAACAAGAAAAATACTGATCCACTACAATGGCAACATCTAGTCATTTAAAATTACAATTCAACCAATCAGCCTCCAGAAAGCAACAAATTGTTTTTCATCAAAGAATGCCTTAATATTTAGAGAGTGCATGTGTCTGTAGTTTGTAAATTGCTTTGATTTGGAGAGAATATACTTTTTTTGCACCTTATTATTATAGTAATATGTAGAAGCCCCAACTGGGGTGAAAACACACAGTGCTCCAAATAGTTTACAATCTAAACAGACAAGAGAGATGAATGGTGAAATGAGAAGCAGAGGCTCACTGAGGTGAAGTTACTTGCCCATGATCAGACAGCAGGTCAGTGGAAGAGCCAGTGATTGAATCCAGTCTCCTGAGTCCAGTGTGTTATCCATTGATCTACTCTGCTCTCTACCCTGCATCTACCTTGACTCTCTCCATTGTGCCTAAAGCCGAACCTGCTGCCTACCTTGCCAGGCTCAGGAATAAAACCACTAACTCATATCATGCTTTTCTTCCCCTCCTCTTTGTTTCTGCCTCAAATCTTGTTTTGCAAATTTTCTGTTCTCTCCAGCTAATAACTAACCATCTCTATTCAGTGTTTAGCAAGATGGTGTATTAAGAATACTACATAAAAATATAATGCACTGTTGCATATAGTTTTTCACTACTTGGAAAATATAAAAAACTGATTTAAATTTCTGTTCCACATATACCTCGTGTACCTATCCTCTCTCACTTATTTATAACTGTCACACAAGTACTCCTGGTAATATTTAACTACAACAAGAGTCTCTGCTGCAAAGCTGGAACAGAGTTCTAGTCACATGCACTAGCCAGGATGTTAGTCAATGAGACTTCATTATGGACCTTCCCTGAAAAAACTAATTTAAAATGTTGCTCATGAAACTTTTTCTGACTGCTGACTCAATGACAGCAATCTACGTTTCAAAATTCAGTCCTACACTTCATCTTAGTTGAGGTCAAAGGCCAGTTACTGGTACTAAGCCGTGTTGTTGTTGCGATGTCGGTCTCAGGATATTAGAGACATAAGGTGGTGAGGTAATATCTTTTATTGGACCAGCTTCTGTTGATGAGAGAGACAAGCTTCCAGCATCAGAGCTCTTCTTCAGGTCTGGGAAAAGTAATCCCATCTTCACAGCAAAATACAAGGATGAACAGATTGTTCAGCATAAGTAGTTAACACATAGTATAAGGGACCATTCAAGGTAGAGTGGCCCATTAACACCTCTGCAGTCATAGGAGAAAAAGAGGGGGTTAGTGGTTTACAGATTGTTGATTTATGGCTTATTACAAAAATCTGTAACCTACTAACTCCTTCTTTTTGAATGGTCTCCTACAATATGTGCCATTACCTAACCCACATTGTCTCTCTAAGTTACTGGTGCTATCTTTCCCATGAATTTGCCAAGTTCTCAAATGGCCAATACTCATCAAACTTCTATATTTAGCTCCATCTTTTGCAAAGTTATAGAGCAATTAATGCTGCTATATACTTTTTAAATTCAATGTTTTATTCTTAAAATGAAACTGGACATATTTATAGTCAATAAGATTGTGTCATGTAAGTGAACTACAGTGGTATCAATCTTGTGTGCTTCATTACTGTAGTACCTGAGCAGCTCACAATCTTTAATGTATTTATACTAACAACATCCCTGTGAGGTAGCAAAGTGCTACTATCCCCATTTTACAGATGGGACACTGAGGCACGGAAAGACTAAGCTACTTGACCAAGGTCACACAGGGAATCTGTGGCAGATAAAGGAATTGAATCTGTCTCTCCCAAGTCCCAGGCTAGCAATGTAACCACTTGGGCCATCCTTCTTCTGAAAGGAATCTACAATTCCAGTACCGTACTTGGGGGGGAAAAAACCTCAAAAGTTTAAACTACAAGGGTGTCAATATTTATGTTATCATAATTCTTAATTATATTTACTCACTTTTATTGGTAAACAATATAAAGATTTATTGCCCCTGCAGGTAAACATCATTTATTTTCATTTCAGTCAATATTTATCTCCACGGTCAATAAACCCTGATGTTGACCTCAACAAAAGTCAAGGTCCTAATAGTAAAATCTTCACCTCCTATAATTATACCAGGAGGTATAATGCTAGCACTGTTTACAGAGTAGATAAATGCGTGTTTATATGTTTCCTAACTATTAAGGACCCCAAAAAACCTTTCAACCAACCACTCTAATTTTAAACCCAGTTAACATGTGACTATGGACTTGATCCTGATCTCTGTTAGGTGGAGAGACATATCCTTGGGCTTCTAAAATAAGATGAAGTTGGGTTTAGGTTGAAGTCTCACCGTTTTCTTTCATGTTTAAGTTTGTTTTATTTGTACTTCTTAAAGAGAGGCATATATAAACAACAAATTACTCAACAGCACAAGTACAGATTTAGTAACACACATATATCCATACTGATGTGTATATATCACACATATAGAACTAATTAAGCCAAAGGATCTTTAACGACTGCAGGTGTCAAGAGCTTGATTTATGTCTCATGCAGAATATGGCAAGGGTGGCCAAACTGCTGTTCGTGAGCCACATGCGGCTCGTTTATAGTTGAAGTGCAGTTCCCGGAGCCTCCCACAGCCCCCATTCTCCACCTACCAGACTGGGAGGAGGGAGCTCGGGGTTTCTGCCATGCAGTGGGGTGGTGGAGCTAAGGGCTTCTGCCAGTGACGACTGGTGCCTGCTGTGAGTTGGGGGGGGGCACACAATTTAAAGGTTTGGCCCCTCCAACAGCTTGCATCAAACCCCCCTAGGCACGCGTCCCCTCTTACCCTCAGTGCCCCCTCCCTGCAGCTCCCAGGTGTTAGCTTCATATGGAGAGGCAGCAGCAAACAGATGGAAGCTGCAGGAAGGGGCTTCTGCTTTAGCTCCTTGGGGAGAGGCAGCAGCAAAAGCAGCGACTCTCCCTGCAGCTCCCAGCTGTTTGCTGCTGCCTCTACCCAAGGCGCGGCTTTCAGCTTGCCGGCTCCTGCAGCTGCTGTGCAGGGAGGAGGCCCAGTGGTACCAGGTGACCAAGCAGGGCCAGCAAACCCTGGCAAAAATCTGGGAGGGCACATGACGCCATGTGTCCCCCTCACACATTGCCTCTGACTTCTGCCCAGCGGGGAGGACGGTCTTGGGGCTTCAGCCCTAAGTCCTGGCAGGCGCGCCCTGACTCTTGGACTTCTGAAGATTGTTGTATGTGGCTCAGAGTGTCAGTAAGTTTGGCAACCCCTGGAATATCGCATCACTAGTATCATGCCCCTTAACCACCAGGGCTCTTCAGTACGTACTCAGAGGAAGAGGCACCACCTACTAAATACATGGCCTCTATTGGAACTGCAATGCCACTTTCTCCAGCACGTGTGTGTTACTTGCAAACCTCACATCCAGCTATTGACTAACCTTACTTAGCTTGGGACATCTTACTGGAACACAACACAAGATTGTATATTTGCAAGCAGTAGACATAGAAGACCAGGCAAAGAGCATTATTTACAGGTCCGAGTGTACAAATTAATGCTTTTGCTACTGACTTCAGTGGAGCTGGGATTTCACCCATAATTTCTCAAAGTGATTTTTAAATAATATATATAGAATCCTTTTATTGATTATTCAATAATCTGATGTTTGCTCTGTGCATATATATTAAATATAAAATACAATATTTTGTATTAAACATGTTAATAAGAGTTCACATTTACATGTTCTTTTCCTAAAAGATCACTTCTGAGCTATGAACAAGACTTATTTATTTTGCCCTGCATGTATTACCTAGTGCAGAGATCCAAAATGGATAAAGCTCTTTAGTGAGAAGTGCATCATTTATTTGAGACAGGAAACATTTCAGTACATCAGTCACATCTTCCAGCTGATGTGTTCCAGCTCTCAGTTTAACACTTCTTGCATCTTTTTTGAAGCTCTCTAGCAGCTCACTCACATGGGAAGGATCCCCATTCTTTGAGTAGATATGTTTGCTACCTAAACCTTAAATACAGGAACACAAGGAAAAAATCAAGTGTTTTCTTAAAATCAAAACATTATTCCTTACACAACACTGACCAGCACCACCAAACCCAGTTACAGTTAACATAGGCCTCTTTCTAGTGGATTTTTATTAATGTCAAATTGTTCTATGAGCACTACTTCAGGAAGAGTTTAAAATTACAAATTCCAATAATCATTTATGGACTTCTTATAATCATCATAAAAGAGGTGATAAAGGGAAAGGGCGCTGCCTCTTTATATAAGGTGATTTCTTTCCGGTTTAATATATCTGCACTTCTGACCCTCCCCCAGTGACCCTTCGGGACTAATCCAAAGGTATTATTTTAATGTGTGTGTTTGTTCTGAGATGTTTGACTCCAGAGGCCTTAATGACGGCACTGCTGATTCTCTCTCATTTTCAGGTGGACAAGTTCCAGACACCACAAGGGAGCCACTGGCAATTCCACTGTTCCCGTGGGTGGACTGGAAGCTTAAAGAGACACTGCCAATTTGAAATATAAAACACCTGAAAATATGTTATGAACGTCACCTTCGACTACTACAGATAAATAAAGCCTTTTATATTAAGTTTGTTAAATGTGTGCATTTGACAGCACTGTGTGTGTAGTCAGTTTAATTGTTTCTCTTTGTAGAGGCTGCTTTTCCCTTGCTTCTCCTTAAAAATGCTGCCAATCATGCCAGCTCTGCTGCCAGCTAGTTCATGTTTCCAACAAACGCATCCCTGCTTTCTTCCATGGCACCCTTTATGTATGGAGGGAAACTCTGTCAAAATCCATGAAAATCACCAGCTTACATTCTCCTTCAAACTCACCTCTACTGTGTTATCTAAAAGCACTATCATCTGATAGTGGTTCTGCATTGTTAACCTTGGTGTGGGGCCTGGTAAATTCATTTATGGCAATTTGTTCCTTTTCAGGCATATTTTAAGTATAAACCACTACTCTAGCAAGAAAGAAGCATCTGATAACTGTCTCAGCTGAGTACACTTTATTTCTCTCACACTCAGAATACTAATACTAATTATCATAATCATCCCATTAAAAAGGACACTATATACCTCTGAGCTGAGAACAAGCATTTTAACCCTGAGGCTAATTTTTGAAAGGGACGTTAAAAATGTCTGAAAACAAGGGATTAGCCTAAACGTGCCTTCTCCTTCATAACTACAGCATCACACTTCCCATGCTTCAGTAACAGTTAAACACATACAACTAGATTATGATACTTGGGAGAATAAAATGTTATTTATAAAAATTCTTCAGCTTGCAAATGAATCAAAAATAATTAAGCAAACAATTGTTCTTGGTTTCAGCCAAGAACACTACACCTTGGGATACCACGGTTTACCATAAGACAGCACTACCATATTCAAAACAAAAGTTATTCAGCTAGACAAACCATCAGTGTTAAAATATGTATGTATGGAGCACGCTTCATTAAACCTATTCCATGCTGACAGAGGACACAGACACTGTCATATTCTGGAAGCATGTCTTTATAGGGTTCAGAACACTAGGCTTGATTAATTCTCAATGGTGCAAAGGGTGAAGGCAATTTGCACACACCCTCTACAGGAAACTGTGCTCCAGACAGATTTACCTTAGTAGAGGATAGATGCCCCTGTCCTTCTTTGGCTGTTCTGCCAGGTGGTGAAAGAGGTCGGAGAGGGAGCAGTAGCTTTAAAAATACAGTCTGGGATCCCAGTTTGTGGAGATCTCTCAGGATATATGCTCAGCCTGCTCTTTCATCCTGGTTGACTTTATTCACTTCCTGGGATCAGCTGACCAGCTCTGGGTGCTCAGGTGCAGAGGGGGTTGCAGAGACCTTGCACAACTGCATGTGGCAGATTTCCTGCCATATGGGACTTAAAGTTTGGGCTTAACCATGCAGTGAATCAAACTCCACAACACAAAATTATAAAGGGGACGCATGGATTGCCAGCCAGGTTCAAGTTGCAGTTCCCAAAGTTTCACTTATAATCAGGTATGTTGCACTGTGCATCTCTAACACATCAAAAACTACTGCAACACAAAGCACCTGCTGAAAGCAGTGACAGGGTTAATAAACGAGTATGGGTTTTAGCTACAGTAGCACATAAACTCATTCAATGCAATCTGATAGAGATGCTTCTTAAGTATTATATGAATGATCCTAGGAGTTCAGCGAGTTGAATAAAATCTCTACTCCACTTACCATACTGTGTAACAAATGCTATACAGCTGTTCACTATAATAGGAACGTCATTTTTGCTGAGCTGCTGATCTTGTAAGGCATTACCATCTGTACGTGCTGCTTTTTCAATTGCAGTATGCCAGACCGTGAAATCCAACTTTGTATGACCATGGATGTATAATGTTCTGCAAAGTTGGAAAATATTTTGAAACAGTAATAAGGGAAAGAAGATAGAAAACTTCTCACTTTTCCAAAGCAGCACAGTAGTTCTCATGAAAAATGAATACACGCAAATAGATTCAAAGGCTCAAGGTAATATTTGGAATAAGCCATCAGAGCACCTGACTTAAATATACTACAGGAGGCTGTTGTAATGGCCTATTCTACTTTTAGTGCTTTCATTTTTCAGCAAAATATTATCCACAGTAGTACAAGTATTATATACTGGTGCCAGCATGTGTTACAGTAGAGACAGACTAGAATCCATGGACCTTGACACAGGATTTGGGATGGGGCCTTTATTAATGCTTTATTCTTTTTGCTCTTGTGCACCCACTCTTGCAGTGCACACTCAGGACCGAGTCACAGTTCGGTAGAGACCACAGCCTCACTCCCAACTTAATAAGATGAATTAATGGTATCCTTCTCTTTTCTGTTTTCTCCCCGAGATCCAGAACTGGAGACAATATAGGCCAAGGGTGTGGATGGAGGAAGTCCCTGTCCCTGTGAGGAAGCTGAGCTACCTGAACTAATTCCCTTCCCCCATCCTCTCTGCTACACAGAGCAGTGATTGTCCAGGAATTTTATAGATCTGGGTGAGGGAAGCAGAGTGGGGAGAAGAAACTCTGAGCACCACGGAAAAGTAACTTAGCCAGTTTCTTTATTCATTTCCTTACCCTGAACCATTCAGTTTGGCTGTTCTTTAAGCTGACTGTAAAAATCCTCACTCTGTTTGTCCTTACTTAGCTTTGGCTCCTGGGAGGCAGCTCCAAGACTTGTTTAATGGTTTACGTATAGCGAAAGTGTTGAGTTATCTAATGACCGTTCCCAGATTCGTTCCTTTACCAGCAGGAGGAGAATATGAACCAGATTTATTGTGATTGTTTAGCACAGAACTCTATGAATTAGTAACATTTTATTTATTTACAATATTTTGTGCTGAGTTCATTCATAGCATGTTGCAGCACAGCCAAGACCAGCCAAGTGATGCCTCAGTTGCCTTCAGGCCTGCCAGGTTCTGTGGCAGGATCAGAGGTGCAAAACACAGCAGGCACTGAAGCAGCCCTGCATCTTGGAGACCTCTTTCAAATCTGTACCCAGACAATAGACGTGCTCTTATCTGGCCTGATTTTAAATCTCCTTATGTGCTCCAATAGGGATTATGAAAATACAAATCATTCTGGGGCTGCGGAAAGGTGAGCAGCTATAGTCACCATTTTGAACTGCTTCTCTGAGAATTTGGCTCCCAATACCACTCGTTCAGAAGTAATGCTTCACCACCTGTCCTTATCTGATAGCACACACTGTACCATATGGCAAACGAGTAGGCTGGTCTGTCTCACACTGGGCACAAAGAGAGGGAGAGCTTTGCAGGGGCCGTGCTCTCGGACTCTGGGGGGCAGAGGTTGACAGGAGATAATGCATTGCTCCCAAGCACCCTTTGGCAGCCATTCAGAATGCTAGTGAAGAGGGGGAGGATCCTTTCAGTTCCTTTCCAATATGATGGGCACAGCATTCTCTGCAAAGTCACACTTATGCATTATTCATTCTTGTTGCTGCTGAAAAATAACAGGATTTATCTTGTGGTTGAATGTCGCTCAAAGGAAGTGAATAGAAACCTCAATAATAGAATTCTAATACACATAGGAAAGCAGCATACTGTAGGTACAAATATTTTCAATGTCTTCCAGTTATTCCACTCAGCTCAGAGTCACTAAGTGGCATACCAAAATATATTATAACTTGATAATTCACCTTGTTTTCTAAAATTTGAAAGCTGTCATAATAGATCCTAATGCTAATAAAGGAGCGAACGTGGCATTGGCTTCCTTGTAACAAAGAAGGAAGAAAAGGAGAGCTATATTTTGATGACAGCCCTGTGGTTTCCAGGATTTCACGGCTGGAAAATTCTGCTACTACAGCAGAAGTTGGCTACAATTGCTGGACAGGGCATTGGGCTATGTTATGCAGGAAGTGCCTTCTGGCCTTAAACTCTGAGTGTATGAAAGTAGGTATTCAAGCTTCTCTCAAAAATATAACATTGACCCTACCCCAAACTCCAGGGCAGAGACAGCCAAGCAGGCTGGAGAAGCAGTTTCAGCATGTATAGCAGCACCAAACAGGGAGAGAGGGGAAAATGAAATCCAGCCATGGCTACTGCCCCACCCCCCACCCCTCAAAAAATCACTGGACTCTAATATATTTGCTGAGGGAGGAGTGGTGACCTAGAGGAGGATTAAAGTTGCATTTAAATTAGACCTGAGCACGTAATTGATTTTTCAGTTTGGTGCGCGAATTGAAAAAAATGCAGTTTGTTTTGAACCAAAACTATTCTCCCTCCCCCTCGCCCCCAGTTTTTCATTTCATTTTGTTCAAACTACATTTTAGAACCAAACCGTCAATTCAAAATGACATTTTGTTTTCAGGTTTTTTCCCCCGTCAAAACTATTCACCAAATTAGCAAATAGTTTTGGTTCACTGAAAAAAAAAAAATGTATTTTTCAACTAATTTACTTACTTAAATTACAAACTCTTTTGTTGCCCAGCTCTAATCTAAATCTTATGAGACAGTCAAAATGTGTGTTCAGCTAACAGTGCTATCTATGTATTTAAAAAAAAAAAAAAACAATCAGTTACCTACCTTTTTGTAACTGTTGCTCTTTGAGATCTGTTGCTCATGTCCATTCCATTCTAGGTGTGTGCGCGCCCACGTGCAGTCAGAGATTTTTGCCTTAGCGGTATCGGTAGGGTCAGCTGTAGCACCTCCCCTTGAGTGCCGTGCTCATGCGTTGGTATATTATGTGCTGCAGACCCTACGCCCTCTCAATTCCTTCTTGTCGGCAACTCCGACAGAGGAGTAGGAGGGTGGGTAATGGAATGGACATGAGGAACATCTCGGAAAGGTAGGGAACCATTTTTTCTTCTTCGAGTGCTTGCTCATGTCGATTCCATTCTAGGTGACTCTCAAACAATATCCTTGGAGGTGGGCTCGGAGTTCATAGCCTAGCGGCTTACAGTACTGCTCCACCGAAGCCAGCATCACCCTGGGCCTGCTTGGTAAGTGTGTAATGGGATGTGAACGTGTGGACGGACAACAAGGTGGCCGCCCTACAGATGTCCTGGATAGGCACATTGGCTGGGAAAGCTGTCCAAGAGACTTGCACCCTGGTTGAATGGACAGTTATGATCGTCGGAAGCGGCACCTTTGCCTGATTGTAGCAGTAGCAAATGCAGGCGGTTATCCAAAAAGAAATTCTTTGAGCGGACACTGGACAACCTTTCATCATGACGGTCACTGAAATGAACAATTGCGTCAACTTGCGGAATAGCTTGGTCCTTTCAATGTAGAAGGCTAGTGCCCTCCTGACATCTAGGGAATGCAATCTACATTCCTCCGACTAATGTGGCTTTGGAAAAAAGAAGGTAAGTAAACGTCCTGGCCCGTAAGAAACTGAGACCACCTTGGGCAGGAAAGCCAGGTGCGGCCGCAGCTGGACCTTGTCTTTGGAGAAGACCATATAGGGAGGTTCTGAGGTAAAAACCCTAATCTCAGTTACCCGGCGGGCGGATGTTATCACAACTAGGAACATGACCTTCCAGGACAGGAGAAGGAGAGAGCAGGAAGCCAGAGGCTTGAAGGGGGTCCTGTGAGCCATGACAACACAAGATTGAAGTCCCATGGTGGAACAGGGTACCTGATGTGCAGGTAGAGATGCTCAAGGCCCTTCAGAAAACCTGGCAGTCATGTTCTGGGTGAAAACTGACCTACACTTGAGCGGCAGACAGGAGGCTGAAATAGTGGCCAAACGGACCTTGATAGATGAAAGAGACAGGTCTTGGAGCTTGAGATGCAGAAGGTAGTCCAGGATCAACTGCAGCGAGGTTCACTCAAGCCAAATACCTTTAACAGCGAGGTTCAACAAGCAAACCGCTTCCATTTGGCCATGTAAGTCACTCTGGTAGAGGGATTTCTGCTGCCGTAGGACCTGCTAGACAGCAGCCAAGCACTCCTGCTCCTCCACATTTAACCATGCGGTAGCCAAGCCGTCAGATGCAGCGCCGTCAGGTTCAGATGCAGAAGACTGCCGTGGTTTTGGGACAGCAGGTCCCGCCTGAGCGGCTGCTGTAATAGAGTAGCCACCGAGAGGTCCAGCAGCTTGCCAAACCAGTGCTGATGTGGCCAAGCTGGCGCTATGAGGATCACCTTCGCCCTGTCCTACTTGATTTTCATGAGGACTCTGTGAATCAGCAGCACTAGAGGGAAGGCGTACAACAGAGCCTCCTACCACGGGAGCAGAAAAGCATCCAAAAGGGAGCCTCTGTCAATCCCCCGGATCAAGCAGAAAAAGTGGCATTTCCTTTTCTGCCATGGCTTGGAACTGAGCCTCGGGGAGGAAGGCTCTGGCCTGAGTAGAGTCGAGTTGAGTTCATTGTTGAACTCTGTGAGTTGTACTGGAATGAAGGTTGATTTTTTTCTTGTTTATTAAAGCCCTAGGTCATGACAGGTGGAGAAAATCAGATTGAGATGCCGCCTCGGTGCCTCAGGTAAGTGGCCATTGGAGCTATGCACTTTGTAAACATTTGAGGCTGCCGAGAGCCTGAATGGCAGCACCGTGAATTGAAAATGGCGGTGGCCCAACATAAAACGGAGGAAATGTCTGTGCCCTGGGAAAATGGAAACATGCGTCCTTCAAGTCAAGGGCAGTGTACCAGTCTCTCAGATCCAGGGAGGGAATAATGGAGGCCAGAGAGACCACGTAAAATTTTAATTCTTGAGAGACTTGTTGAGGAAGCGCAGGTCCAGAATGGGTCTGAGGCCCCTTTTGCTTTTGGGATTGGGAAGTAGCGAGAGTAGAACCCTTTCCCCTTCAAGTCTGGGGTGACCTCCTCTACCGCCCCCAGGCATAGGAGATTCTCGACCTCCAGAATGAGGAGTTGCCCATGAGAAGGGACCCTGAAGAGGGAC